TGTTATCTCAGATTCTCCAGCATCTGCAGTTTCTGCTATCTCTGAAATAATCCTAATTGTGGTCTCTTCACTTGACTGAAGCTTCACTTGAGCAAACATGGGCATGATGCTATGCAAGAAAAGGAGATTGTACAATTGCAAATCTCTCATTGGGTCAGCTCAAGGTAAATAGGGCATTTTTCTGTCCTCACACCAACAAAATAAGGGTAGTGTCCCTGCCCTTGAGCCAGAAGCTCTGGGTTTGAGTCCCAATCCAGCACTTGATAATCAAGGAAGGTGCATTGACAACACAGCCAAACAAGTTGATTGTCAATCTGAAAATCCTTCCAACATGCGCTAATGGCAGGCAGTTAAGAGTGAGGACGATTCCTGGTTAGCCATGTGATGGAAAGAACGTTGGAGCCTCTACCAGCACTATCTGTAGCTCCACTGAGGTACGCAGGAAAAAGTATATGCTGGCACAGGAATGTGGACTCCCTGAGTGATCTGTAACTCCCCCACATCATGAAGGCAACAACATAGCTCAATAGCCCCTTGGAGCTCATCACCAAGTGCACCATTTTCTAGCCACTCTGAGTCATTAGAATTGTAAAGCAAGGAAATTCTATTAAATTTATATAACACCCCTCGTACATCACCAGTTGAAGCAGTGTGTACCATTCTAGTCTCCATATTTAATAAATGGTGTAGACGAAAAGTGCAAAGCTGCTTGCACGAGTGACAGCACATTATTATAAATTATAACTATCAGACAGAACAGACTGTGGTATTCCCTCAGGAAAAGAGAAGGCTATGGGGATGACCAATTAAGTTTATTTTTAAAATTAAGGAGGTCTTGGACAGGGCAGATGGAGAGGAAACAATTCTTTTTGTGGGGACCTCTGAAATAAAGGGTTATAAATATAGGACAGTGACTAACAGATCTAATAAAGAATTCAGGTGCGAACGTCCAGCGCACTGCTGCAAGATGTAGCTAATGAATGGCACCAATACACTTAAAGCGATGCCAGGTAAATGCCTGACGGAGAATGGAACAGCATTTTCTGCTGACAGGGTGAGATGATGTTGAGGAGGAGTGTTTGTGTGGAGCATAAACAGTAACTTAGATCAAATGCCTAAATGTTTCATTTTATTGCTGTACGTTCCATGTGATTCTCTGTATTAAAATAACCGACTGATCAACAACACCACAGCACACTTGCATCAAGTGGCACTTATGAACCTCTCAATCTCGAGTAGATCTGGGCAGCAAATTCAAAGAATCGCTCTGCACGTGTCACGTGACTCCTTCCCTGAAAAATCTGCATTTTGCAACATTTTAGTTGGGGCAAGTTTGAGCGCTGTCCTAAAACAGAGGTTAAGTCATGACTGTATTTTCTGAATCCTTTGATGTAGGGTTGGTAAGACATCTCTTCTGAACCGGTATATCAATAACAGATTCACTCAGGAGTACCGTACCACCCTGGGAGCAAGCATCCTTCCAAAAGAGATCAGAGTGGACAATACATTAGTGAAGCTACAGGTGAGGAATATTTGTCCTGCTCCATCGCAGGTACCTGTCCATGTGGGACAAACTGAAGATCTAACTGCTCTAGTATGATGTATGATTCCTGTAATTCTTGTTTTACTCATTCATGGGGTGTGGGCATCACGGGGCAAAACCAGAATTTACTGCCAGAAAAGCAGTTAACAGTCAACCATGTTGGGCAGCACGGTGGCTCAATGGTTAGCACTGCTGCCTCACAGCACCAGAGACCCCAGGTTCAGTTCTGGACTCCACATTGTCTGTACTCTTTGGAGCTTTAGAGATGGCTTGAATGGCCTCTTTCTGCACTGTAGGGATTCTATGTGGTCATGTAGGCCAGACCAGGTAAGGACTGTAGATCCCTTAGGAATCAGATGGGTTTTACCAACAAGCAGCAGTAGTTAGAGGGTCACTATTAGACTAGCTTTTTTATTTCCAAATTTCACATCTGCCATGGTGGGATTCACACTCACATTCCCAAAACATGAACCAGGGTTTTGGATGACTATTTCAAATAACGTTAGCACTACGCCACCACCTCCTCCTATTATTCCAGTAAGGGTACCCATGAAAATATCATTGATTTTTTCACAAAAATCAATTTGTTTCACTAATACTCTTTTGAGAAGTATATCTACTGTCCTTAGCTGGTCAGACCCATGCTGTGAACTGATTGGTTCTTCACTGCTGTCCAGGACAATTTGAATGGGTAATGAATGGGCAACACCCATATCCCATGGATATTAATATGGATCACTAATGAGGCAACCATTTGACCTCATATTGACTGCCTTGCCTTTCGTTCTTCAATTCAGATCTGGGACACTGGAGGTCAGGAACGTTTTAAGTCACTGGTGCCCTCCTTCTCTAAAGGTTCAGATGGCTGTGTCCTCGTTTTTGATGTGACTGATCGAGACTCTCTATATGGTCTGGAAGGCTGGAGGAAAGAGATTTTGTTGCAAATTCCTTTAGAATATAAAGATTACCCTTTTGTTGTTCTGGGCAATAAAGTTGATCTAACAGAGAGGCAGGTAAGTCGTTACAAAACCTTGCAATGGTAGAACACAGAAGGTGTCTATTTGAGCCATCACCTCTGTCGCAGTCCTTTGGCAGAGCTTCCATGTGTCCCACATATATTCAGAACTCCACATTTTTAACCTTCATATGTATGTAGCTTTTCAAATTTATGCCAACAGCCTTTGAAACAGTGAATTCAAGATCATAACAATGCCCTGCATTTAACAAATAACCTCATCATCTCCTGGCCTTTTTGCCAATTATTTCCTATCTGTGCCTTCTGCCAGCTGAAAGAGTTTCCTTTATTATTTCTTTCTCCTCATCGGCTTTGTCAACTTTTGATCTCCATTCCCCAAACAGCCACAGATCAATTGTTAATGACATTGATAGATTTATGTTAGCCAATGGCATAGAAGGAAATGGGGTGACAGCAGGTATAAGCAGCTGGATTGAACACTCCCACACAGATGGGTTTGAATCCAGCATTTGACTAGCCCACTGCCTATCCCTGCACTACTGCCATTGATAGAGGGCAGAGTGGCACCTGCCAATGTTCAAAGTTAAGTCCTTCAGTGGACAATTATAGCCAACATTGGGGACTCATCCCAGAAACACCAGAAATCAACTGTCGCATGCAAAGGAGGTCCACGCCAGGCAGTTAGCCTGGCAGATCTCCATGCACAGGCTGGCGCTGAGTGGGCTGGATAATTCCCTCCTTAATCTATCAGAGGGCAGCATCACCCCACACCCACCACCGCTCCCTACCCCCACCCCACCCCCTCACCAAATTCTACCTGCCCACTCCCATGGACTTTCAAACCCCAGCCCCACTCCACTCAATGGCCTTTCTCACTGACTGACATCCCATTTCTGATGAAGGGTCTAGGCCCGAAACGTCAGCCTTTCTGCTCCTATGATGCTGCTTGGCCTGCTGTGTTCATCCAGCCCTGCGCCTTGTTGTCTCGGATTCTCCAGCATCTGCCGTTCCTATTATCTCGGATTTATTGCTGCTGGTTTCCTTGTCGCAGTACTGACTGCGGCCACTACACCTTTTGGCGCTAATGGGACATTGAGAGCTACTCATCTCTAATTAGCCAGCAGCCATGTGTGGCAGGCTCCCTGTGTCTCAGGAAATTTGGTCTCCGGTGAATGAATGGAAACTTGGTCATTAAGTAGCTGCAACCTATTTTTTGTCCCCCTGGATGGGTTGCCCCTGACTTGTATACGTGGAAACACAGCATGCCCAGGAAGTGAGATCACAGACCAACTATGATCTGATTGAACAGGCTGAATGGGCCAAATGGCCTCCTCCTGTTCCTACATTGCTAAAGCATCTCATAATTTGAAACACCTCTCAGGACTCTCCCATTACCCTCCTCCTCTCTCAGGAGAATAATCTCCATTTCTGTATTCTAGCCACATAATTGAAGTCCCTAGCACCAAACTGAGAAACCTCCTAACATTCTGATGATAGAAGTAATTCATAAACTTTGACATGTAATAGAAGCCAGCGCTCCTAAGAATTATTAAGTGCTGCTCCCATGGTAATTGGCAGAGAAAGAATAGCAATCAGTGAATTTCGTATTTAGGTTTGGAATTTTTGATTCTCCTTATAAAAATCACCCTCTAATCCAATGGAACAATCTTGTTTATTTCCATTAGTTTTAACCGTCACTCAAAGTTATCACCATGCGTGCTCAGTTTGAGCATGCCATTATATATTGTTCTTCAGTAGTGGAAACAAATTACAGGAAATCCAAAAAAGACTTGCATTTATGAAGCACCTTTCCCAACATCAGCATGTGTCAAAAGTATCTCACAGGCTATGAAGTACATTTGAAGTCTTGTCACTGTTGTGATGAAAGAAGTGCATTGGGGAATTGTGCACAGTAAATTGATAATGGCTGAGCATTTCTTTCTGTGATGTCAATTCAGGGATAACTATTGGCCAAGAGATCAGCATTAACATGCCTGCCTTTATTAAAAGGGTTGCCATGGGATGCTTCCTCAGTTCAATGTCTCACATAAATGACAGCACTTCCTCAGTACTGTGCTGGGTGTGAGCCTAGATATTTTCCTCATAAGACCCTGTATAGGATTTGAAGCTACAACCTTTAACTCAGAGTTGTGAGAGGTACCGACTGAGCCACAGCTGACACCTGTAATTGTTAGAAAAGTATGTTCAATAACTAGGATGTGCACTCTTTAGAGAAAAATGCCCATTTTGTAGCCCTCTTGTTACTTGATCATTTTAGTGGGTATGTGGTGAAAACTCAGTGGAAAACAAACACAATCTTTTTTTGCCACATTCCGTGCCTGATTGAAGTCAAATGCAAGAGAAAGAAGGAGGCAGTACAGGAAGAAAAGGAAGGAACAAAATGTAGGCCTTCCATTCAAATCAACCAACTTTGTTGTGAAGGACCTCAAAATTCTCCTCTTCTTCAGCTAGCCAGCAGGTGGTGGTGGAGAAGATTCTGAGTTTGATTCACCTTCTAATGCTCACATTCTTTCCTCCAATAGAGGGTGCACTAAGTCCAGCAGGAAATTTTGAAGACAGCAGGAACTTTGCATAGAGAATCCAAGGAGAGATTTAATCCCCTCCAACTCTCACATTCCCTTTCATCATGAAACAACAAGGGTGGAAATGTACTACCAGTGTGAGAAGCTACAGAATTAATCAGACCTTCAGCTATCTTTGTCTCACATAGAATTTCTTTGAGTCCACAGCATAGAAATAGACCATTTGGCTCAACTGTTTATGCTGGCCTTTGAGCTCCATATCAGTTGACTGACATTCTTTATCATCTAAAACTATCAATATGTTAGCCCTGTATGCCTTACTATTTCATAGACCTTATAGGTTTTCTTCTAAAATCTGTTCACAGTTTGATGGCATCACTCAGTAGACCAGCATTTATTCCTTTGTGGTAATGGGTTCCACATTCTTAACACTCCGTGGATTTATAACAAAAAAATTCCTACTGACTGTTTACCTGGATATATCAGTGACTATCCCATAACTGTGGTTTGTAATTTAATTTTTGCTTTTTGGTTTTTTGCAAAAGTTATAATTCTAATGAATATTCATGCAGCAGTTTCACTGCCATATTCTAAATAACAGACAGACTGAATTTGCTTTTGTTAAAATTTTGCCCAATTGGTTTTTCTTACTCTGCTGCTAGTTTTTTTTCTTATCTTTGTTAGTGATGCGTTGACTATATTGTTAAAATATGCAGGTGAAGGGCATTATTTAATTAAGTGTTTAAAACACTTATTGGGGGTCCTGTTGTGACTCAGAGATAGTGCTCCCCACCCCTGGATTTGGAGGCCTGGATTCAAATCTTACCAGTGTCAGGGATCCAGATTTGATTCCAGTTTTGGGTGTCTGTGTGGAGTTTGCACGTTCTCCCCATGTATGCGTGGGTTTCCTCTGGGTGCTCCGGTTTCCTCCCACAGTCCAAAGATGTGCAGGTTAGGTGGATTGGCCATGCTAAATTGCCCTTAGTGTCCAGGGATGTGCAGTTTAGGTGGGTTAGCCATGGGAAAAGCATGGTTACAGGGATAGAGTGGGAGCCGCATCTGGGTGGGATGCTCTTCGGAGGGTCGTGCAGACACAGTGAGCTGAATGGCCTTTTTCCGCACTGTTGGGATTCTATGACTTGCATTCTGTGGACTCAGCCCAGTGATTGTACGTGATATATGAGCTTGGAAATTCTGTTTTGTCAGGTTCTTTGGTTATAATCCATGATCAATTAACTCAAAACACCCCAACTACCGACTACCGCTGGATAGAGATCAGGAATGGCAGTGCTGGTTAATTTTCAATGGAGGCTAGCTACAATGTTCTGAGGCCAGCTAATCCAGCGTATACCGCAGATGGAACCTTCTGCAACCTTCTGGCTCTTCATGAGTCGGTGTAGTCACTGATTAAATGACCCAAGTAATTGAGAAGGGCTTCTGCTGGAATTCAGTTCAAAATAGGCTGTCATGGAAAACTCATGATCGTGTTCAAATCTGTCGTGGCCTCTCCCTGCCCTCAGCAATCGTTAAGGCACAAAATCAAGGAACTCATCCAACATCAAAATCTCTGAGTGAAAGGAAATTCAAACAATGAAGATCTCAAGAATGAGGAGGTGTTGGATGACATCAATGCTATTTTCGTTCCCCTGCAGGAGGCTGGCAGCTACTAGCTGATATTTTAGTAGCTACTACCAAAGTGGCTGCCGCCTTCCACCACACAACAGAACAGAACAGACAGATGAGGCAATCATTAATGCAGTACAATCTACAGCTGAGGAGGTTGAATCTGATGAAACCAGCCTGCTTGTCTGCCTACTTTCTGAGCTGAGGCCACAAAGGCTCTGGGATTTCACACTGCAGCACAAAATCATTGAAACCAGTTTTTGATTGCACTGAAGATATGGCGAATACTATCACACTCACCTACAAACAGCATGCTAAGATTGCTGCCTTTTTCCAGAGCTAACTTCCCAACATTTTTCAATGCCTTGTATTGCACAAGGTCAAAGAAACATAGAAACATAGAAGATAGGAGCAGGAGGAGGCCATTCAGCCCTTCAAACCTACTCTGCCATTCATCATGATCATGGCTGATCATCCTACTCAATAGCCTAATCCTGCTTTCTCCACATAACCTTTGATCCCATTCGCCCCCAAGTGCTATTTTGGCATCAACTACTTCCTGTGGTCATGAATTCTACAGGCTCACCACGCTTTGGATGAAGGAATGTCTCCTCATATCTGATTGATTGATTGAGTGATTGATTTTATTGCCACATGTACCAAAATACAGTGAAAAATTTTGTTTATGAGCGGCACAGGCAGATCACAGCAAGCAGAGGATGTCCAGATCAAAAAGACTTTGAGGCATACAGGTTACATTGCAGGTTACATTATTTGAAGCTAGAATCCATTCTGGTCTACCCCAAATTCTCATACGCTGACTCCTGGTTCTGGACACACCCACCATCTTGAACATCTTCCCTGCATCTACACTGTCTAGTCCTATTAGAATTTTATAAGT